GTGTCTGCACAGACCAAGACCTTGGCCAGCCCATAGGCTTCTCCTGCTTGCTGCTCTCTGTTCTAGCTCATGAAAAGCGCTTTGTCTGGCTGGAGGTGCAAAATGCCCTGAAGGGCTGCAGGGAAAGGCAGGAGCAACAGCGGCAGTGCTGGGAAGTGAAAGATCCTCCCACCCCCCTACCTGGCCAGTTCAGACGGAGAAATGCTTCTGCCAGCCCCAGCCTCCCAGCGCTGCATTCCTGAGCTAATCTCTGTAATGGTACATTGAGGCAGAGTCTCCAGCCTCGCCTGTAGTTAAGCGACTCGCTTACTTACTTCCCCCCTCCCCGGCTTCTAATTATAGCAGAGAACACAAGAGCGGGAGGCCGGACACGGGCTCACACACACACAGCGTGCCTTTGAGGCATGCAGCGCTCCATCTGGGCCCTGGCACGGTGTGCTTTTCCCAGGCAGCTCCTGCCGGGGCAGCGTTCCTGTCCTGTTCACTACTTGCACGCGGGAGCAGACCAGGGGCACCCTTGCCAGTAAAGGGGGGTTGTTTATTTGCTAGCTCACTGACGGTTCCCTTATCAGACTGCACAGAGCAGAGCTGCATTGGCTCCACATGCCTCTTGGCATAAGCAATGCCGCGGCCTGGCAAGCTCCAGGAGAGATGCAGGCTTGGCCCCTGCTTGGTGGACCTCTCTCATGAGAGGCGGTTGGACTAACTGCTTCTCCTGCCCCCAGCTCTGTGATCTCCTTTTAGCTGACCATGAGCACATTGGGGAAGGTTAGGGGCTCTCAGTAGTCTGGTACATGAATCTTGGCTAAGCAGATCCCTTCTAGCCCAGCGCAGGGCAATGAAAATGGTTCGGGGTGAACCACTGAGGAAGACAGAGAGGGGGTTTAATAGCAGCCTTCCACGCCCTGCAGGGCGGTTCCAAAAAGGATGGAGCTGGACTGTCCTCAGTGGTGCTAGATGACAGAAGGAGCAATGGGCTCAAGTTACAGCAAGCCAAGCTGAAGTTAGATATAAGCTAAAACTTTCTCACGAGCAGGGTAGTAAAACACTGGAACAGGTTACCCAGAGAGGCTGTGGACTTTCCATCCTTGGAGATTTTTAAAACCAGGCTACAAAGCCTTGGCTGGGATGATCTAGTTGGGGCTGGTCCTGCTTGGAGCAGGAGGTTGGACTAGATGTGGCCCCCTGAGGTCCCTTTTAACCCTCATTGTCTGTGATTCTGTGGGCACTGCCATCCGGCCCAGGAATAAAGCGGAGCTAGCGAGGTGTGGCTCCCTCCCCCTGCAGAAGGAGCATGTAGGACAGTGGGTTCTCCCTGGGCTGCCGCGCGAGAACTTGGGCCTAGCTGTGAGCCTTCCCTGTCCCCTGGCAGCCAGCAGCCCTGTTTTGAACAAAGGAGTGCAAGTTTAATTTTTTTTTTCATCGTTACTCCTTTTGCCAAAGGGCGTTTCCGGTCCTGGCCGCAAGCAGAGTTGTGCAATCATTTGGGTTTTGCATGAACTTGGTGCAAAGGCCAAGTCCCCGCGAGCTGCGCCTGCCATTCCTGCACTGTTTATGCAAGGCATTCAGACGCCACGCATGGCCCTGGCCGCGCGGTGCGGGCAGCTGGTCTCTGTTATGCTCTGAAGTGTCGTTTCCCTTTTCTTGAATGGTAGTGCTGAGCTGGAGGGATTTAATTTTTTTTTCCCCTCTGAATGAATGGAGCATTCCAAATTGGTTGTGAATGGAGGGCGGTGCCCGCGCGCAGACTTTTTCAATGAATAACCAGGCCCCATTGTGCTGCTGGCGGAAAAACAGCCCGGCTCAAACAACACGGAGACTGTTAGAGAGAAACATGCTGGTGATTGGCAGCTGGAGCCCCTCCAAAATAAGTTTCCTTTTGCTTTCCTGCTGCTGGCTGCACTCAGTGTGGGGAATGCGGGCAGGGTTAACACTAGAAATGCTGGAGGGTAGCGAGGCGTGGACCTGGAAGCACAGATGCTGCTGGGGGAAGAGATTGCCAAATGCCTCTGCATTGCTATAGGACCCGTTTCTTCCAGCATCAGAGGATGCAGCTGGGGTCCGAACGGGCCTGTCTCTGTCACCTGAGGGAGAAGGGAGGCAATGGAAGGCCACTGATATGTCCCTGAAAGGGGCTAGGGCATCCTCCCATCTCATGCGGGTGTTTAACTGGGCTTGCCTGTAGCTTCTGGGGGCATCCGAATCCCAAGACCTGTGGGCTTGGGCCTGCTTTAGGATGTCTGCCAACTGATTTGGGAGTATCTGAAGTCCCAGGGTGAGAGGCTGGGACAGAGGATGCTTGCCAGTTGTAGCGCCATGCACGGTGTTTAGAATCAGTACGGTTCTTGGAACGATTGAGTTCTGCTCCTTTGATATGATTTGGAGCCAATTTGGCTAATTTGACCTGGAACACAAAATATATTATTTAAGAAAAAAAAATCGATCCCCAGAGCAGAGCTGCCTCCCCTTGCTTGCAGGGTGGGAGAGAGGGAAAGGGTTGTGATTTTGCTTTGAAGCCTCCTGGGGTTTTCTAGTGCCCTTGGGACCAGCTATGTGAGGGGTTAGACATTGCCACGTCTCTCAAGGCTTTAGCCGCTGACAAACTTGAGCAGCTAATTAGCAGCCAAGCTGGGAATGCCGAGCGCAGAGCTGTTCTCTCCTCCGTGTTTCTGGGATGTGTTTAGACTCCGCGTGGAGATAATACTCCACCTCTGATTAAGCCTGGCTGCTCACCGCAGCCGCTATTTAGGTAGAGCGCGCTGACGTACCTTCCCTTTCCAGAGTGTCTGTTTTTAGAAATTAATTAGGTTAAGTGTATATTAGTTGGTTTAAAAAATTATATATAGTTAGCAGACTTTGACGCCGTCGGGCTGTAGCCAGAATTACATAGTCTGGTGTTTAAAGGGTCGCTGGCCTCTGGCTGGAGGAAGAGGAGGAGTGTTTGCCATGCGGGGCTCTGGCTCCACCAGGGAGCAGAGACCAGGACATGGGCCATGTTTAATGGGTTCCCACAGGAACGGCTGTGTAAGCGTGCTCAGATACAAGGCAGTGGGTGCCTGTACCAGGAGAGAGAGGCACCAGCACACCACTATCTCTGTGGACGTGCATGTGTACAGGTACATGGGAGCACGTTGCCCCAGCCCTGTGTGGATTGCAGAGTAAAACGTGAAGAGAAACTTCCTCCAGGCTGAGTACAGACCGAGGAAAATGCTGTATAAGCCTATGAAAAAGGGGCACTGGGGACTGTATTCTCCTGCCTGGTGTTTGAGGAGGAACAGCAAACCATGGCTCCCAGCACTGGGCTCGTGGGCCTGCTATCTAACACAGGGTCACAGGGTTGGGAGGGACCTCAAGGGTTACCTAATGCAGCAGTTCTCAACCTTTTTTGTACCCGGACCCATTTGTAAACATCACTGGCCAGTCCCGACCCAGTGCCCCGTGCCCCCGACTTGCTGCCCCCAGCCCCTCGGTGTGTGGGGCAGGGGCGTCCCCAAGCAGGCTGGAAATACAGCAGCCTGCAAGGAGAAAGCCACAGTTTCCCATGTTTTTCTCTTGGAAGGGAGAATCCATTTTTAAAGTTTGTTTGCAGCCCTTTCAGATATTTTTTGTGACCCACTTTTGGGTTGCAACCCGCAAGTTGAGAAACACTGATCTAGTCCAGCCCACGTTCGGATTCAGGACGCACCATTTCTCTCTGGGCAGAGGCCTATCCAACCTCTTTATGAACACCTCCCGTGAGGGAGACTCCACAACTTCCCTGGGCAGCTTGTTCTCTGTTTTTACAGTTAAAGGGCTTTGGTGGTTCTTTGTTTCAGAGACTTGAACTGAATCTGCCTTGCTTCATTTGAAGCCCATTGCTACATGTCCTGTCTTCTGCAGCAAGGGAGAGCAGTGTTCTTGCATCTTCTCTGTAGCAGCCTTTCAGATGCTTAAAAACGGTCCTGTCTTTCTTGACAGATGCTTGCCAGAGACCTTTGTGCAGGCTTCTGTCAGACTGCTGCTTTCGCCCCTCCCAGCGACTTCAGTTTTACCTTTTACATTAAGTGGAGGGCTCTTGGTGTTTCTTGGATGACTTGCCTATTGTCCTGTATTGCCTGTTAGGTAGCAAAGACAGATCGCAGAGAACAGTGCATGTTCTTCACGATTTAACACCAGCTAGGGGCCATATGAAAGTGCTCTTCAGACTTGATGCATTCAGTTGGCTTCGCTGCCTGAAGGCTGAAGAGGTCTAGGCTGAAAAGCTCTCTGCAGACTGGCTTGCATGGGGATCCTTGGCAAAGCTGGGCCCAAAACCGCTGGAGGGTGGGAGGCAGCAAAGTGTGCATGTTCATTGCTGGGGATGGTCCTTCACATGATGGTGCCATCACAGTTTAATAGCTTTGAGGCAGGCTGTGTTTATTAGTGCCCTGCCATCTACATTCACCCTCCCAAGATCTGCCTCTTGCAGTGTACATCCAAGATCCAAAACGTGCCCGTCTCCACAGTTGTGCCCATTGGGTCTTATCTTGTCACCTGGCCTCCCCAGACAGAGCAGAGCTCTTGCCTTCTATAGCCTTGCTTTTCCCAGAGTTCTTCCAGAACTGGCTCCAATTGGCCCCTCTGAAGCTTGGGGACAATTGGGTTTCAGCAGTGCCAAATTGGCAGCTAGCAAGAGCTGGGTCCTCTGCAGTTAGTGATAGCCAGTCACCACCCTCCTGAAGGGTGCACGGGGCAATCCTATACAATTTGCTGCCTACTGCTGGCCAGAACATTAGATTTTTTTTCAATCAAAACATGCCTTGAAAGGGAGCGGAAACTGGCTGTAAGCCTGCTCTCTGCCCTGCTGTGCATGCTAGCTTGTGTACCACAAAGTGCTGTAAGCCTTGGTCTGTTGCCTTCTCATATAGCTCCGTATTAGCTCGAAGCCCGTGCACGGGAGCTGTAATGGCAGATGAAACAGGGAAAGCAAGACATGGTGGTGCCTGTTTAATTGTTTTCTTCTCCTCCTCTTTTGATTTTAGTGGTACTTCATGCCCCTCCTCCAGCAAAGATCAAGCGGGAACTCCACAGCCCGTCCTCGGAGTTGTCCTCCTGCAGCCACGAGCAGGCTCTCTGTGCAAATTATGGAGACAAGTGCCTCTACAACTATTGGTAGGTGGTACCAGGGGACCCCAGCAGTCAAAGAAGCCTGAGAGCAGGAGTAGTGTGGGGATGGGGGGGCAGTACACTGAAGACCAGAGTGCAAATGAAAAGCCCTCCTGAATTGAGTTGGTTAGGGGAATTACAACAGCACACCCATTTAAAGGGTCAGAGATTTTTTTGGCTGATTCCATTTCCAGCAGCTCAGGAGTTTAAACAACTCATTAAACCTGATCTGTGTTTCCATGACCATTTATAGACCCAGTGGCAGATTTAAGGGGGAACTAGAGCCCTAAATACCCAAATGCTTGGGATTTACTGCTGCATACACAGGGTTCTCATGTGCTCGTGAGAGACCTGCAGGAATCCCAGGCGCCACTCCGTGTGCCTTCTCATTCGGATGGCCTGCCCTGGACATGAAATCTGCTTGGTTCCAGTGCGCCAAGACCCACTTTCTATGCAGTCCCTGGCAGCTGATTAGAGGTTGCACAGTTGCACGATAACTGCTGGTAGTAATGTTGCAGAGTGTAATCCATCACACAGATCCTCGCTAAAACTTGTTTGCTGTAAAATCCCAAACAAAGAGTTCACAATGTAGGGGAAGGTTTAAATACGACGAGCTGGGATTTTTGGTTTTTTCACACGTGACTGGAAGGGGAAAGGTAGCGGGAAATCTGAGGCTGCATCATGGGGACCTGTCTTGCCTGCTGCTTCTCTGAGGTACAGAGATTTCCCTGGGGACTGCTCACAACCCAGCAGTGTTAGTGCCGCTGCCTCCTGACAGCCAGGAAACACTAGCAGGCTTGGGTCGCTGTGAGCAGTGTCAGGAAACTGCTCCTGTGGTCCTTGCTACATCATGGTCCTTTCTGTCTTCTGTTTGCAGTGCCTATGACAGAAAGCCCCAAGCCGGGTTCAAGCCAGTAACCCCACCTGCTACACCCGTGTCACCCACTCATCAGAACTCGTCGCTTCCGCCCCCTCCACCACCTCCGTCTGTGCAGACCGCGGCCCATGTCGCACCAACAGGCCCGCTGCGGGGGGCTCCCCCAGCATCAACTGCACCCGCCCTTCATTCTCTTCAGGAACCAAGGCAGCAAACGTTTGCAGTGCCCCGGCCACCTCATCCACCCATGCAAATGCCAAAGATGATGCCTGAAAACCAGTATCCAACAGAGCACAGGTAACAAGCACCATTTGCCTTCTATCTAGACCAAACGTGCGCTTTTCTCTTCTCTTAAGACTGAGCAGAAGTTTCTCCAAACCCAGCAGGTTGATCCCTTTTCTCAGAATTTAACAGCTGAGTGTCGTTTTGGCGAGTATGGGACAGACAAACAGAGGGTCAACATGCCTGATCAGGGCCATGTGATGTCCCATCCTTATAAACAAGTAGATCACTTCTGCTTTTGTCTGTTTCTCTTCCTTTTAGAAATCAAAAGATGGATGAAAACTGCAGATCTTGGGATTTTTTTAAAAGGGCTTGCTGCAACATTTGTCACCTTTTGCAAAGATCTTTATTGCTTTCTGCTTCCTTGGGAGGCATCTCTCCAAACCAGTCAGTGCTCTGCTACCACATTCACCCTAACTTACCATTGCTTCCAACCCAAAACAACAGCAGGGGGTTGACACAAACCTCATGCTGCCCATGCCGTGCTGCCTCTCCCCAAGACAGTCCAGCTTTTTCAGCTGGGCTCAAAGAGACTGGTGCTGATTTATGGTAGGCTATGAGAGTTTAAGCACTGACTCAGTCCATGTTCCTTCCCAACTCCCTCTGCTTTTCCAGGAGGGATTGTGCCTTTCTGCTTGTCACAGTGTAACTTTGCTGCTACCTGTCCTATGCTGGATGGTGTCAAGCAGGTTTCCTGCCCTTCCCCAGTTAGTTTCCTTAACCACTGTTAACTTTTACTTCTCTGCCATACCAGTGGTATATGTGCCTTCCAGCCCAGAAGTTGAGTAGATGGATTCTCTCTTTAGCTGTTTCACAAAGTGCTGGCCTGTAAAACAGTTGTAGGGAGTTACCCTGCCCCTGGAGGCTGGTCAGGGTCTTATGGCAGTGCCCAACCTTTGACAAACTATTGGAGAACAGGAGCTTGGCCACCCCTATTTCCTCCATCTTTGCTGCCAGTTATGGCCAAGTGAAGTGTTGTAGAAGCACCGTGAGTCTTTGCTACCCCTGCATGGTGTCACTGCAGGGCTCATTTGGAGTTGGTTGTGTGCCTGCTCTGTTTCCATTTATCAACAGAGTTGGATAACTCAGGAGTGTAAGCTTAGCAGTGCCTGTTTTAGAGATACCCCTGTAATGTGCTTTGCTCAAGATTGCTGAGGTGCACTCCCAGCCTTGTTCCATCTAAACGTAGCTCCAATTTGGGAAGTGCATCTTGTGGGATGTCCTGTAGAGAGTCTGAAAACACTAAGAGCCTTGTTCACTTGTCTGGGTGAGGATACATTCTTAAAACTCTTAACTGCGGGCTACAAGCCATTGGTGAGGAAAACGTCCCACCATGAGTACCCACCAGTGCATCTGTCCCCGGAATAGGAGGCGGAAGGTGCAGGTTCTCTTCCCAGCTCACCGAATAACTCACTTGGAAGCTCATTGAGAACTAAGTAGGTATCCTCCCCCTGTTCTAACCACCTCCTCCACACTGTGGAGGTAACTGGCTAAGAGGATTTAGTACTGTTGTACATCCTGCGGGGGGGGGGGAAAAGAAAAAGGAACATTTCTTTCATTTCCTGCCCCCTCCACATCCCACCTCAGTTTCTTATCAACACAGAGCCAAGGTCATTTCTGTGATACCCTTGCCTAGCTCCTGCTTGCACATACGTGAGTCTTGCTATTGTCTCGTGTGGGAGTTGCTGGACACTTGTCCTTACTTAATCGGCTATGTTTGTATGTGTTTCTACGCCACTTCAGCTTGCCGAGATTGTGCTCTATCCCTCCTCATACCATCCTCACAAGTGCTTGTTGTCCTTCCCTTTAGTGTGAGTTGGTGAAAATGATTGGCATTTGGCGAGCTCGCTGCTGCCTGAGGTCATGGTGGCTTCCCACTTGAGTTGGCATTTTCAGTTTGTTGCCGAAGAATTAACAATTTATTCTATTTGACTCTTGCCAAGTTGCAGATCCATCTTATTGCATCAAATTTGCCTGTCTCCAGTTTCCCTGGGAGAGCTGTGTGGAACGTGGCTGCCCGTTCAGACCAGCAGCTATGACTAAAACATGCAGAAGCAGCATCTTAGCTCAGCATAGTTTCAGTAACTCTTTCTTTCCCTCTGTTCTTGTGTCTATATCCAATATTTAGCTGGGCCTTTTAGAGCAAGCTGTGGGCTTTACTTTGCCTAGGTTAGGGACCAGGAAGTCTGTGCTTTCCTTTGAGTTAGTTCATTGTCTTAGACATCCACAGCAGCTCTTCCAAGGCTGAGAACCCTGTAGAGGCAGGTTCTGCTGGAAGAGTGGGGAAGTGGAAAGAAAAAGGCTTTCTAGAAACAGAGCTGTGCCTGTATCTGTAGGGTTTAACTTGTTTGGTCTCTGTAAACAAGGGGCTTCTTTTTAAAGGTCCTGCCTGCAGAATGCAGATCAGTCCCTCAGAGAGGGGCCTGAAGGAGGGAGGGCTCTGCGTCACATGAAGGTCAGGGCACAAAAAAGTTGCACAAATTTTATCAAGCAGGGTGAAATGGGAAATGCTTGGCTAAGCCGCACCAGTGGAAGCCATAGGAACATAAATCAACATTGGGCTTCAAAAGACGAGCTTACCTCCCTGCATATTTCTGCTCTCATCTTCCTCCCCACCACAGCTCTTTCCAAAAAAAACCCCCTGAGCGAATGACATCTGAGGTTGCTTTGCAGACCATGGGGCTCTGAGCTGCAAATGACCTTAGAGCTATGTTTGGGGTATTGACTCGGCCCCATCTGGAAGTGCCACTTCCTGCAGAGGCCATGCCAGTGCGGGGCTAGAGTTTCAGTCTGGAAGGTTAGAAGGACATCCATCGGAAGTGCAGTAATCCAGGCCTGTCAGCTGCAGAGGATCCGGTTACAAGGCCAATGCCGTGCAGGCCTTGGGGTACTTGCAAAGGGAATGGATTTGTACAGATCGCCTTTCAAGGTGTTAATCTGCTAGAGCGCTGGGGTCTCTGCGCGTGCGTGGTGAAACGCCAGGCAGGGCTCCCATCCACTTCTCTCCAGCTTGACAGCACTTAACCCCTGTAAGGTCAAAAATGGGGCCATGGAAGCTGCGTTCTCCTCCCCTGTGGATGGCAGTGATTCCAGTGGTGACACGTAGGGGGCACACGGGGGTGCATGTGCACCCCCTGAGAGCACTGGTGCACCCCCTGACTGGCCACACTTGCCGCTTAGGCAATGGGCAGCAGGGCAGGCAGGAGCACTGGTGCCCCCCCTGCAAGCGCCGGCCAATTGCTGCAGCCACTCCCAGAAGTGGCCTCAGCTGCAGCCGCCCCTGGAAGTGGCTGTAGCGATCAGCCATCATGGGATCGATTATAGGGGTCCTCCCAGGCAGTGAGATCCACCACGGGGGGACCCCCTATCAGTCAGTGGGACTAGTCCCAGGGGAGGCACATGCCCCACCAACTAAGGTGGCGCCAGTCACCCATGAGCGATTCCCTGGTGTGAGAAACTGGACTTGCGCTTCACGTAGGTATGTGGTGTAGCAACTTTCTTGAATTGAGAGGCCAGAAGGGGAAAGTTCAAGAGGTAGGGGAGCTGGTTCTTCAGTACTGAGTTGTTTGAGGGTCGCCCTGAGTGGGCCATGTCTGGTGCTTGTCATCTTGAGCATCTGCATGAGCTCCAAGGTATGTGGCCTTTGGGAAAATTTGCCCTGTTCCCACCTTAGCATGTTAAAGGCTTAATCCCAGCCTCAGAGGCAGATTAGCAGCCATTTGTCTTCCGTTGATTGCTAAGTGGATTGAGCATTTATGCATGTGCCCAGTCCTTAGTGGGAGCAAACTTGTCGCAGGGCCCCTCTCTTCTCTGTGTCTTCATTTTGAACTTTTCCCTCTGCCAGAAATATGGGAAGGGCTTCCTGACTTTCCTGGAGATGGGGACTTGTCTCTCATCTGCTTGAGCACCAGGTGAGGTACCAAGAAGTGATTTTTGCGCAAGGCCTGCAACGTGAGGAAGGAGAGGTAGCTGCATGTGCCAGTCTGATTCCCTCACTGTGGACAGGGCTTGGTTGATTCTCTCTGGTGCTTGAACTCATGTTATGCCAGTCGCCACGAAGGGGCGAAGAGTGGGAAATAGAGCATTGTGCCCAAAGCCTTTCTCCCCCTGCCCACTCCCCCCAGTAATAACAGTAGGTGCTTCAGGAAACAAGGGTAGGGGAGCGATCTCGGGGTGTCCCTTACTGGACACAGCCTGGGGGTGGCTCCCTTAGCAGCAGAGGAACAGAACTGGCTGGACCCAAGGGATGTGGGGGGTATAGGTAGGCAGTCACGAGGTCTCTTTTTGGTCTACATAAAAACAACTTGACTTGGGAATTTAATTTCAGTCCCTCCAGATCTACTGGGCAGCTGGTCACTGCTTTATTAGCTGGTGACGGTGGGGTCCTTGCAGTCTGTTATCAAGTTCAAACAGAGCTTGTCATCTTAACTGTTCTTTCCCCCACACGTTCTCACCCCATCAGAGAAAAAAGTCTTTTGTGGCAGTCGTAGTTCTCATCAACAACTTGTTTCTTCCTTGGGAGCCTGCTTGGAGAGCTATGGTCACATCTGCTGGGGATGAGTGAGTTTCTAGCCTTAGAACTGATGGACCTTCCACTGTTTTTCACAAGGAAGAGATGATATGAGGGGTTTCTCAGAGATTCATCCCCAGCACATGGTTCTGGACACTTAACTGCTCACTGTCCTTTTCACAGCCCCAGAGCCATCACATTGAGGTCTTGCTCCCTAGCTTTGGGAGCAAGACATCCCTGGACAGTCTACTCCACTTCTTGTTGCATTTTACAGAGGTGCCATGGCCTGCCTAAAGCTGTTGGCAGGATTCTGTCTCCGGCGCTAGGAGGGGAGCATGGCCCTCGGTTCCCCTCTGCACTTATTGCCCTGTCCCCTGTTTCTGGTTATTCTGTGTGGCAGCTGGCAGTGTTGGTGCTTGCAGTCTCTTGCATAGGAATGCCTTGGATGGCATCTCCCAGTGAAAAAAATAGGCCTGGGTTGTTAACCTCTAATTGGAAGTAACAAGCTCCATGACCCCGGTGAAGCCTAGCCTGCCTGCCTCTGTTGGGGACATATGTGTTTTGCCCGCCAGGGTAACCTCTTTTTTTTCCCTGTCTTTGTGTTTCCCTCCCTCCTAGGTTCCAGCGACAGATGTCTGAACCCTGCCATCCTTTCCCCACTCAGCCAGGGGTTCCTGGAGACAATCGCCCCGTCTACCACAGGCAGATGTCAGAGCCGATTGTCCCTGTTGCCCCACACCCTCCTCAGGGATTCAAACAGGAGTACCATGATCCCCTCTATGATCACGGGGTCCCGGGCATCCCTGGGCCCACCAGGCATGGGTTCCAGTCTCCAATGGGCATTAAGCAGGAGCCCAGGGATTACTGCATTGACTCAGGTCAGTATGAGAGCTGGGCCCTCAGTGTGGAGGTTGATGTGAGGGACTGTCTGGGACTAGGGAAGAGACCTCCCACCCCCATGCTGAGGCCCTAAGAGTGTATTTGCGCACACCCTGTGGGAACACATCTCAGACTGTAACCTTGCTTCAAGCAAGACTCCCATCATATGCTGCTACATGTCCCTGTGTGGTACTAGTTCAACTGCCAGACCCCAAAGGGAGGTGAGGAGGGAAGCAAATCCCCCGTGCCAGGGTCCACAGCCCTGCTGGAGCAGAACTCTGCCTTAGCCCTTTGGCGTAGCCACAACGCCAAGTAGACCAGCAGCTGAGAGTAGTGTGCATGCCATGCTGCACATCTGGAGGGGACTGAGGGCCACGTCCCAGCTCTGCAAGTCCTGTCTGATCTGCACGCCTCGGAATGAGAGCAGAGCCAGCCTTTTATCTCTTCCATCTACCCACTGAGCCTGGGGGGCTGCCGAGGGGGGGGGATGTCGGTGCATAGACCCTGCTGCTCTCAGCAGGTTAAAAATAACTGCGGCCAGCCCACCCGCTGCTCCTGAGGTTTACCTGGCAACTTCCTCTCCGCCGTTCTCGACAGAGTCGTGTTAAAGCAATGGCCCGGGCAGCTTTGGCACTTTCCCTTGGGGACGGTGGGAGCTGCTTCCCACTTGCTGCCACCAACCTTTTCATCTAGCTAGAAGGACAGATTTATCTTTGTTTTCACTTAATAAATAAATAAGCCCCTGGCCTTTGACAGATGTTGCTGCGACTAAGCTTCAGGGCTCCACGTAGCTGGGAGCTGCCGTCTGCAATGCGACATGAGTCTCCTAGTCCAAGCTGCCGTGCAGGGGGGTTACTGGGGCACGCCACTGACTTAGATGGGTTCAGGCTTATCACTTCCCTCAGGGAGGGGAGAGAGCCTCCCCAATGCCAACCATGCTGCCCAGTTGTGTGATTTCTGTTGCTGGTGCAGGGCCCCACCCGTCGCACGATGGCAAATCCTCTAATCGCATTAAGCCTAAAAATACTGTGACCTCGGGATGGAACATGGTCATCAGCTACCAGTTGGAGCAGGTGGGGGGTGGAAGAGGAGCTGTAAGGGTTTATTTTTTTTAAGGACCCTTGTTATCTCCATTCCTCTCCCTCCTTATATGGCCTGAGCCATTTAGGGGGTGGATTTAAAAGGGGCTTAATTTTTTTTTTTTTTATTGAAGGCTGCATGTGACCCACAAGGGGTTATACTGGGACCCTCAGGCTCCTGCATTGCTCCAGCTGTAATAACAGCCAGAGACTCCAGGTTCCCCCTACTTCCTCCAGCTGCTACTTCCAGCCCCCACCCAAGGGAGCAGGGCACTGTGACATGT